TTGTCCTGAAAGAGCCGAACGTTTTGATTCACGACTTGTTGAACTAGTAACTAAGACGGGCAATAATCTAAACAAAATGAAGATTCAACTAATCTAAGTCAGAGTAAATACTTCAAAGTAATAAAAATGATGTAATGCCTCAAAATAATGAAGCTGACGACAGAAGAATCAAATCTTTTTGCTCCTTTCGTTAAACCGCTGCAGTTTTAGTTCTTGGAGTCGAACGTCCAAGAAGAACGGACCTCCGAAGAGAACGTCTGAGCATCAGCACAAGCGCACAACTCAACACCGACACAAACAGATCAAAGTGCTTCTGCCACGACACAAAGCCAGTCGGCCCAGTACCTCCAGACTGGTTTTACTCGTGATTCTGACGGATCTTTACCTCGCTCCCAGTATGTGTGCGCGCACGCCTGTCCTGTTGGCAGAGAACAGCAAATCTGGGGTTTTGCCATGTTCTCGCAGCAGGGTGCTTGAGCCACGATGGAGAGGGACAGATGGAGCAAACTCTCTTTCTCTGCGTTTCCAATTCAGATAGACGGAGAGAAGAACAAAGAGCCGGGGAGCGCTACAGAGGGAAGTCACCGAGACGGAAACCTTCTAAAGCGAGGACGCTCGCTGCTTCAAAGCCCAGAAGGTACCAGAACATTAGCAGTACCAAGAGACAACGCACTGCCAGAACCACAGCAGTCGTGTGGAAGAAACGGGGACAGAAATAAAAGATTTACTGGTGTGCCCATCTGGTAACGTTAAAAAGAAGAAGGTATTTCTGAAAAAATCTCAACCTGGAAATAAAATGTTCGACAGGGACCATGGAAATGTTTAAAGACGGCTAACAGAACGTAAGACGAAAACGTTCCTGAAGACATTTAGAAAAACACCAACGCAGCCAACGACTAGAACTCAGACATTCTCCGGTAAAGCCCAGCGGCAGTTTGAGAACAGCTTCTCTTAGAGATGCACAACATTTTCAGACAATATCCGACATGTTAACGTTATTTTACAGATATTTCCCTCTAGACCCCCGTACAGAGACCACAGAGCTCTCTGCTGAGGAATCAAAACACCACATTATTCTGCAGGTCTTAGTTCGGCTGCTACCACACGCTGACAAGGGGATTGAAAATGATGCAACACCAACTTGGATTACGTTTAATCTCAAATTTATTTATATTTACTCTAACACAATGACAACACTCGACCAGTGCAAATGTGTAAATTTGCACAAATCTAAACTCAACGGCTGCGTGACGTCATCACGTTGCGCTGCAGACGTCCTTGTCACTGGGTCGTCAGAACAGCACCTTTTATATCGGTGAGTTAATTTGACGGAATGACCGATGTTTAACTTTATCGCCAATATCTGCCGATACCGATACATGCCGATAAGATCGTGCATCCCTAGTTTGTAATAATCTGAGCTAATATCGATATTTTCCCAGCAAAGCGAGTTTAACGATGTAAATAAAACAGTCAGTGCAGCGTCTCCCCTGCTGTTATACAAGCAGCCCCCCCCCCCCCCCAACAGAACCGAGCACCCCGCCTACTGAACTCGGCTCCAGGGCTGTAATATAATAATATTAAAATAATAAAACTGGACTTTATTTACTTATTTATCCTGACTTTATTGTTTTTGTTGTTGTTGATTGAACTCTTTTGAATTACCATGTCCTGGATGACTGAGAATCTTCACCAGCGATTAATGACACAGTCGTCTTGCCATAGCCTCCCCACCTTCGTCCTGCTCGCTGCCTGGAGCAACCGGCAAACCAGCTTCACTTCGCTGCACCCCCCGGCGAAATGAAGCTGGTTTGACCATCAAAGTGCATTTATCAAGTAAAAGTTCAACTGAGACACACCTTTACTATAATTTTGAGCAAACGATTGTTTTTAAGTGTTAATCTTGTTCAATTCGTGTTAAAGTGCTCCCGCGGCCGCCATGTGGCAGCCCATCGGTTTTTGGCACAACGTGGGCTCACATTTCCAGGTTTCAGCAGTGACGCATAATAGATGCGATGTATACGGCAGAGCGACGTATTTATGTATTTTTCCACTTTATTAGACGGATATGGACTGATGCGACTTGTACAGAGGAAAGCACGGTACTGTTCAACCACTAAAGGTCTAATTAAGATGCTGAGAGATACCTGGGTCGCATACATTGCAAGTAGCTACAGAAAGGCTCTAATGCGCTGCCTCTTCAGAGCGAAGCAGTATAAAACCCACAATGCAGTGTTTACTCACTCCTCTGGAAGTTTGAGGCGTAACTTGTTGCAAAAGAAAGTTCTTCTGTTCGTGCCTTTTGACAGCCTGCATTAAAACCACCCGCTCGAGCAACATTTGCATCAGTCCCACGATACCTGCAGGATCCCCGTCTCAAGGCTGGTTATTATGGGAAATACCACAACGGTGTTGGGAAATATAAAACTCACACATCATATGAAAATAAAGTCGTCAACGGTGACTTTTAACAGTGTGATCCCAACATGAAAATACAAGTTTAGATCCACAGATATAGGCGATGGCCACCTGCTCCGAGTGGCGTAATATTAGCTGCTTGCTTCAAATTAACTGGTAAACGAGTCACAATCACCTCTGTGTCCACAGGAAGCAGCAAATTAAAATTCACGAGAACAGAATCGGTCTTTGAATCAGCTGTGAAGAAGCTCTCCGCCGCCTGACAGCTGGACTTCCCAGCGTCGCGTCTCTCCTGCCTTTGGTAGGAAGCATCAGAGACGAGCCGCGGCGGTAAACATTCGCATGCTGCGTGCCGTTTGCTGTAGACACATTGAGGGATTTCTGGGGTTTTCACAGAGTCACTGCCAACATGCGTGTGCGCGCGGATGAATTTCAATGAAGTTAAATGTACACACTGCGTATTTATTAATTTGAGGTGGCAATGCACGAGCATTCTGTTACTGTCCGAGGGTTGCCGTCACGATTTTGGTTTTCTTACACGTGTAGTTTATTTGTTTTCACTTTTGGCACCTTGTTTCAGTTGTTGCTTTGGTATAACCGAACTTATGAGAACAGTGCTGCTGTTCGGTGTATCGTTTTGCACCATTAGTGACGAGCGTATCTTTTAACGTACCATTCGGCGTTCATTTAGTGTATTTCTTATTCACTGATTCTTTGTACGCTTTATAGTTTTGATGTTGTTGGATGTAACCAGGACCCTGAGTACACAATTTTGTTCCACCTCATCTACCACATATGACGCGAATGACAATAAAGAACCTTAACTTGACTAGTTTTGGAAAAAACCAACGTCCTTTTGAGATTTGGTAGAATCAAAATGGTCATGGACTGTTGAACTTTTCACACAATCGCAGTTTTTTGTTTTGCTACAAAATATTCAACTCAGCGTTTCCCTTAATACAAGTAGGGCGCCCTGCCCTGTCACCAAGCCCCCACCCCCAAACTGTGGGTACATGGTACAAACACCACGCAACACCACTACAGTGATCCTTCCTGTGGTAGTATGTAACTGGACTGGTACTGCTGGGGAGAGGTTGGCATGTTGGAGTTTTCCAAAAGTCTCCAAAGTTCTCACTCCTCAATCAGCAGCTCATCTTCTATCATTGCTATGTGGTCTGCAAGTACAAACAAGCTCTATGCTGATGTTCCCCGTCCATTAAGGATTTGAGTAGTGAATTTTTCTAGTTTTAGAGATGAGTGTTGCCCCATGGGCGCCGGTGCTTCGGGCATGTCCAACTGGGAGGAGACCCCGGGGAAGACCTAGGGAACACCTTGGAGTCCTCCCAGAAGAGCTGGAAGAGGCTGTGGAGAGAGATGTCTGGACCTCCCTGCTCAAGATGCTGCCCCCACGACCTGACTTTGGAATAAGGGGAAGATGATGGATGGAGACGAGTGTTTTTCTGTACTGGAATTGAACAGGAAGCACAAGAAAACCTTAATGTTTGTGGTGCAAGATGTTCAAGTGTGTGGGAGTTACATGTTCTCGTTGTATCCGGTGCAGTGATAATAAAGCTTATTCTGATTCTGATTGAAAGCGTAATCTTCGGCCACCCCAATCACTTGAGGAAATAATACTCTGAAGCAACATAAAAACTAAAAGGCATAGTTTCCTCAAATTATTGATGAGGCTCGTTTACATACATGACAACCCAATTTTCAATAGTGACCTTTCCTACGCCTAGGCGCAACCACGCGCTAAAACGGACGTCAGTACCTCACATTTTTTTCAAGAAATCCAACTCACAAGATGAACAGACAAAGGGTTTTCCAAGTCCCCTCTTCACTCAGCGATGGGGTACAAAAGGAGCAAGTATCAGACTAAGACTGTATTCGCTCATACTAAAGCCTCAGCAGTAGCTCGATAGTGCTGCAGTCTTGTGATCTGGAGGCTGCGTGTTTGAATCCAGATTGCACCAGAAAAGGCATCCTGTAAAACAATTGCCAAATATTTCTTGCAAAGTTCACCACTGTGGTGACCCCTGAGGAGAGCAGCCAAAAGAAAAACACTTACCGATACTTCCTAAATGATACAGATCAGGGACAAAAACATCTTCATGGAGACATTGCAAATGTTATTATTTTCCCCATCATCCCTTATTAAAGATGCATCTGTTCACGTGTAATTAACACAGCGATGCACGTCTCTTTAGACACGAATCAGTCAGCCAGAATAATGCTGCAGGCTGGAGAATGGCATAAATCCCAAACAGCCTCTTCAGGCACTTTGTGAACGCTCTGTGTGCGACAATGATTGCTGTGGAAGTGTGTGTGAGAGTGTGTGCTTGCTTTAAGTTTCCATAGCAATGCTGCCTCCCGGGGTGAGTCGACTGGTGCATCTAAATGGGTGGATTGTATTATGGGCTATATTTACTGTACTAACACACTCAGCGGGTTTCTGTGCCTGCGCCACAAGGCACAAACAGATCTCCATGGAGACAGCGGCGGGAGAAGAACATGAAAATAGTCTGAATCCCAAAGTGGAAGCCACAACACAGATCTTTGAACATCATCTACGGCCAGAATTAAGAAATCATGACGTCACCGCCTGTGGTGTCCCCCTCTTTGACCAACCTCTCTGCGGCAGATGTCTGTGAGGAGGCCGACTTCCTCTTTGCGAAGAACTTCTCCTTGGCGACCAGCCGGACGCTGCCCCCCTCCTCCCGGGCCTTGCTCAGGGAGGCCTGGGCCACCTCGTCTCTACCCAGGTATCTGTGAAACGGAAGAAACAAGGCTGTGAGGGAGTTCAGGATTGTGCCGACGTTACATAAGCAGCCATCCTGATGATGGAAGCGGATTTACTCGAAGAGTGCGGGGGGAGACGAAACCATAAAGCACCTCTGGACAGCAATAGCGCCAGGTCCGTTTGATAGGACGTTTGAGGTGGGTCGAGCGTAGCTGTAATCTTAGTCATGTATTTTTTCTGCTAGTGCAGTAATCCTGAGATTTAATCATATAAATTCAAAGTTCCCCATCACCCACAGAGGTGGCAAAGCTCTACAAATTGCCTCTGTGGCACCAAACTGTGCCTAAACGCTCAGATTTTCCCTTACATTTCTTATTTCTTATTTTATCTGTGAACTTATATTCTGTTTGTCTTCCTCCCGACTGAATCCCATTACGATTGCTGCTGCTGGAATCTAATTTCCCCGAAGGGATCGTCAATCATCTAATCTAATCCGTCTGCCCTGTTGCCATTTTTCTTTTATGGCCCTCGTAATACAGATGCAGCGCGTGGAATTCGAAATTGCACACCTCTGTACGAGCCAATCTGGCGGAATTAAAATGACCCCCAGATGTCAGAGTTGACACAAAATACTGGAGGAAAAAATAAAATAAAAAGCCAGTGAGATGTTTGCTCTGGACAGGAGAAAATTGTACTGGTCTTAGGAGAAAAGTGACCAATCAAAAATATCCAGAGCAAACATTAGGGGTCTCCAAAGAGGAATGGTACAGCACTCCAACGGTCTCCACAGAGCAATTATCTCTCCTCTCTCCTATAAGGCCTGCAGAAACTCGGTGCTGAGCTATTACTTCACCAAGCAAGTACAAACCCAGTGACAAAATACCCCTTTGTTCCACCAGCAATACACCATAACTATTGTGTCAAGGCCTCCAGCTGGCGACTCTACAACCACTCCTATTTCAAAACAATCAATTCCTGCTTGAACTAAATGAATCGCTTCAACGAGTCTGAACAGTTAAATTCCAGCACAATAACGACCTCGACTGCGACATCTTAGAGGTTGGCGCTCCATTGATAACTTTAGAAACCAATTGAAAGGTTGGATGGTGGCTATGCCAACTGATTTACTGATAACTGTCTGGAGGCATCGAGTACCTTTGATCAAGGATCACTTGGGGTCCCCCAGGAGGAGTTGGAGTGTGTCACTGAGGAGACAGAGGTCTGGGTTTTTCTACGGGACTTGTTGTCTCTGCAACCTGACCACAGATAAATGGTAAATGGACTGTACTTATATAGCGCCTTTCTGTCCAATCAAGATACTCAAAGCTCTTTACAACACAACCTGTTCCCTCATTTACCTCCACACACATTCATACAGCACTCTACTACAACTCTACAAAGATATTCAAACAAATCAGACACTAAATGGTGCTTTAGATCACATTCACACTGATGGGACACACGTCGGAGGCAATGAGGAGTTCAGTGTCTTGCCCAGAAACACTTCAGCATGTTACTGCATAGTGGTGGAATCGAACCCCCAACTCTGCCATTGGAGGACGACCGTTCTAGCCACTCAAAGTCCAACTCATCCACAGCCCCAACTGGATAAGCAGTAAAAGATGGAGATGGTATTCTATAGACTGAATTTATTATTTTTGTCTGTATTACATGACACTTCTGTTTACCGGTACTTGTGCTGAATCAAATTATTAACACTTTGTTGTTGTTGTTTATTTTTTACCTTGAATTATATACTCTGTGGCATTTACTGTGTTTTGTATTTCATATGTATCATATGGCCCCAGTTCTGGGTGGAGTTTGCAAAAAAAGGAAGACGTGGGTAAAGGTGGATGTATCATATGTTTGCTTGTTTAGGGGCATAAATAAAAACTAACTATTATATATGTTTGGTACAATGCTTCTGCCTCTTTTTGAGTGTTTACCATCCACAGTTCAATTCAAATAAACTAAACTTGAACTAAAGATTGGCATCAGCCATTTAAAACCAATACTGGTCAACCTCTAATTCCATCTAGTATCCAGCACGCTAACCTGTTTCACACATACAATTTCACAAAACTCATTAAATGTTTTAGACACCGAGTGTATGGCAGGAATGCACCTCAGCAGATAAAGAAAACTGTATTTTTTTTCCAGCTCATCTATCAGGCTGTGACTGACACCAGGTTGTGACAGCTTTCACTAAGCTGGTGTCTCGTTAAAACATGGCTGGGAATATTTCTTACAATTGAAAGGCAACAATCTCAGTCTAAGGAAGAGATTTTAGCGAAGATTAGTTGGCACATTATAATGAACGTATGATAAATGCTAATTCATGGAGATTTTAGGGTATTTGTTTTTTTTACAGTTTTGTATGCAGTTTTAATATTCTCCTAGTTTTTCAGTGATAACAGTAGATCTGCGTTTGGTATTTGTACATTTTGTGTAAATTCAATTTATATATATATATATATATATATATATATATATATATATATATATATATATATATATATATATATATATTTTATCTTTTTGGTTTGCAGAATATGTATTTCCTCCTATAGTATTTTTTATTCATATAAACATTACAGAGGCAGCAGCAACACATGAATAAAAGTGGCAAAAGAAATAAAACATTTAGAGCAGTGTTCAAAGTCCAAAACACCTGTTGCTCATTGAATAAAAAATAAATAGATTGCTCTTGGTGAAACTCCACTAGTGTGGTGATGAAGCTGTTCACTAATTACAGCACAGATCAATACATAATGCATCGTCCAAGCATTTTGTTCTGACACTTAACGTCAATTCTTGAACTTGCTTTGATTGAACTTTATGGCTGGCAGACTAACTGTGGTTCTACCATCGTTGAAATGAAAATCAATAATAGAACGCCTCCTGGAAAAAACATGAAGAGAAATTCATGTAACACTGATTGAATACAAAGGAATGTTTTCTGCTGGGTAAAAGACCGATACTAAACGAGTTGCTAAGGTCAAGTCCCGTTTCACTACATTAACACGACTTCATGGCTCATAATTTAAAGTCACAAAGAGCAGCACTTACAACATACCTGCGCAACATAAAATATCTCTTAAAAAGTCAGTACGCCATCAGTCGTCATAGATTCCTCTTAAGTGAACAGATGTAATGCCAATATGTTCATATTTGGTGGCAGTGAAAAATTACTTATGAATCCAAGGTGGGTAAAAAGCAGAGCTAAGGCGGGTACAGAGCAGGGCATAAACGGTTGTGACATATGGCCCTGACATGTACAAAGCAAGGAAATGTGCGTACAAAGTATGGCCCCGGTGGGTATAAAGCAGGGAATGGTGCATACAACGGAAGGCCCTGGTGGGTACAAAACAGAGACCCTGCAGGTATAAAGCATGCCAAGGTGGGTTCAAAGCAAGACCCTGATGGGTCTAAAGTGTGGAAAGGTTGGTTAAAAAACATGAAAAGATGTGTAAAAAGCAGGGTGACCCAAGTATGCCAAGTTACATACAAAGCAACGCTCTGTTAGGTACAAAGAAGGGAAAGGTCCATACAAAGCAGGGCGTAAATGGGTATAAAGCAGATGAAGGTGGGTACAAAGCAAGGCAAGGTTGGTACGAAGCAGGGCAAGATTGGTACGAAGCAGGGCAAGGTTGGTATGAAGCAGGGCAAGGTTGGTACGAAGCAGGGCAAGGTTGGTACGAAGCAGGGCAA